AATATGAATCTCCCCTCTCTAAAAATGCTGCTTAAAAGTTACCTCCTACTGCTTCTCCCCAAAATACCACTTGTTCCTAAATGCCATATAATGCTTAAAGAAAACCAACCAAATCTTGAAACTCAAAGGCAAGCAAGGGAAGAAGGAGAACACTCACTGAATGCCAGCTATACCCAAGTACCAGAGCGAGCAGGTGCCTAAATCTTTCCTCATCGTGCCCAGCTCTGGTTGTCTCTACTACTGTGCTTGTTTATCATTTGCATTTTAATCTGCTTCCTGCTTGAAACTGTGCATTTTTCAAAGACCAAACCTTAGACTGCTGCTGCTTTATAATGTCCATGGTGACTAGATATACATTCCTAGGCATAACCAACTGGTTAGAAGGTGAGAGTGGGTAACAGTGGGTAGTAGAGGAACTCCTTCAGACTTCTGTCATCTTAAATGAATTTTAATCACTGACTATTGTCAGTGGATCAAATACAACATAGATCTCCTGGTTTTCTTATCCTTAACTTAATGCAACCAAATGTAAAAACCTCAGTGAATGTCTACTTAATGTTGGAATGATGGGGTTTTTTTTTAAAAAAAAAAAAAAAGCTTGGAATAAACAATTTTATCTCCAGCAACCTTAGAGAAATGGAAGGAAAGAAGCAAATTGTAAATAAGTTTTGGATGAATAATGTTCTAAGAAACCAGACAATTCCCAAGAGAGACAATAAGTATACACAAACTCTATCTCTTAAAGAAAATATAAATCATGAAAAACAAAAAAGAGGGACTGTTCAAAATTAAAAGAAAATAAAGAGACATAAGAAACAAATGCAATGCATGAAACCTGATTGAATCCTGGATCCAGAAATCTCAGGAAAAAATTTTAGGGACAATTGGGGAGATCTGAATAAGGACCATTAATTAAAGATATTCTTAAATTAATGTTAATTTTCCTATATGTGATATTGATATTATGACCATGGAGGAAATTGTCCATGTTCTTAGGATATGCATGATAAAAACTCTGTATTATCATAATCTCTTTAATATAGTTTCAAATAATTTTAAAAATATATAAATAGGGGCACCTGGGTGGCTCAGTGGGTTTAAGCAGCTGGCTCTTGATTGTGACTCAGGTCATGATCTCAAGGTCCTGGAATCCTGCCCTGAGTTGGACTCTGCCTCAGTGCAGAGTCTGCTTGAGATCCTCCCCCTTTGCCCCTCTCCCCCGCTTGCGCACATGTGCTCGCTCTCTCTAAAATAAATAAATAAATCTTTTAAAAATATATATGTAATATATATAAATCTTTAAAATACATATATATATAAAGAGAAAATGTGGCAAAATGTGAACAGTGAGTGAATACAGATGAAAGGTAATATGGGTGTTCACTGTCCTGTATTTTCCATTGTTCTGTAGCACTGAATTTTATCATAATGAGATGTTGAGGGGATGGGAAGATAGAACACATGAGAGGAGGCCAGCTGGAATGAAACATAAGGAGTGCAAGCAGCATTAGTCTCAGCAAAAGTGAAAATCAGCTATGTGATTCTGGGTAGGTCACAGAACCTCTCTAGGTCTCAGCTGAAAGAGGAGGAAATAGATGACTTCAAGGTCCTTCCATCTACAAATTTCCATTATTCTACTACTTCTTCTTAGCTCTAGAACCCAAAAGATAACTATACACAAAGTGGAAAAATACACTGGACTATTCTAAGGATAAAATAAAGTATTTAAAACAGCTAGCCAAATGACTGTCACATGGAACACAAACAATAAATAGTAATTCCTCTCTTTTGAGAAAATATCTTTAAAATTCTTCATCAAAAAAAAAAGAAAGAAAGATAGGACTACTAACTAACTTAAAAGAAATAAGTAACACAGGGGGCACCTGGGTGGCTCAGTCCTTAAGCATCTGCCTTCTGCTCAGGTCATATCCCAGGGTCCTGGGATCGAGCCCTGCATCAGGCTCCCTGCTCTGCGGGAAGCCTGCTTCCCCCTCCCCCACTCCCCCTGCTTATGTTCCCTCTCTCACTCTTTCTCTCTCAAATAAATAAATAAAAATCTTTAAAAAAAAAAAAGAAAGCGAGAAAGAAAAGAAATAAGTAACACAGAATTGGAAAGATTTAATATCTATTCAATTTCAGTTTACACCTAAAATATCTATCCTAATAGGCAGAATATAAATACACTCTGATGAAGCTACAAAAAGAAAAACCATAATAAATGAACCTCCTAAGAGTTTAGACAAGCTGCGTGCTTTCAAGTGAACACAGTATGATATACATCTAATGATAGGATGCTCCAGAATTTGCAAAATAAAATAACAATAAAATTATATATCAGATTTTTGGGTAACAGTCTGGGAATATTTCAGACTAACTTATAATTTTTAAGACATCTCTTTTAAAAAGACAGCAGAGGGGAGAAGGCTTAAAATTCAATATCAAAGTAGGGTCGCCTGGGTGGCTCAGTCAGTTCAGCGTTGGACCCTTGGTTTCAGCTCAGGCTGTGATCTCAGGCTCGTGGGGTAGAGCCCTGCATCTGGCTGCACACTCATCTCGGAGACTGCTTGAGGTTTTTTCTCCCTCTCCCTCTGCCCCTCCCACTCTGCTCCTCCTCCTGCTTGCAAACGCGCACACACGGGCTCTCTCTCAAAAATAAATAAAATCTTTTTAAAAAATTCAATACAAAGTTTAGCCAATTATTTTCACTTCCAAGAACATTCTGAAGTCAAATGAAATTAAATTCATAATTAATTAGAAGTCATATAAATTAAAAGGCACCGCACAAGGAGCACACAGTCAATGATAGCATCGTGTGGTGACAGATGGAGCAGATACACTTGTGCTGGACAGAGCATAATGTACAAACTTGTCGAATCGTTCTGTTGTACACCGGAAACTGATGTAACACTGTGTGTCAACTATACTCAAAAATTTTTTTAATAAAATAAAAATAAAAACAAAAAGTCATATAAATTAAATTTCAGGGGGAAAAGCAAAACAAAGTATTAACCAGAACATAGGACAAACTTGCTAGATGGTTTTATTTCCAGCATAACATTATTTCTAACATTATAATTAATTTCCCTTTTGGTGAAATAACCAGTCTTTAACATAATGGGAAAGATAGTTGTCTAAAAGGTTTCTGGGCATGATGCCAATATCCACCCAGTTGCTCAAAACCCAAAAATCTTGGAGTCATCCTTGAGAATGTTCTGTTTCCATACCCAAACTATTCAAAGTCGCATAAATTCTGATTCAGATACATTTCAAATCCATCCATCTCTCTGTCTCAGGTTGCTAGCACCTTCTCAGGCCACCACTATCTCACCTCAGCTCCTAAGACTGCCAGCTTGCACTTTCACCCAGCTGGTCCATTCCTCACACAGCAGCTCAAATGATATCATTTAGAATAAAATACAAGCTTCCTACCAAACCCTTCAAAGCCCTGCACATTTTTTTTTTAAGATTTTATTTATTTATTTGACAGAGAGACACACAGCGAGAGAGGGAACACAAGCAGGGGGAGTGGGAGAGGGAGAAGCAGGCTTCCCGCAGAGCAGGGAGCCCAACGCGGGGCTCAATCCCAGGACCCTGGGACCATGACCTGAGCCAAAGGCAGCCGCTTAACGACTGAGCCGCCAGGCATCCAGAGCCCTACCCTTCCGTAACCTCTTCTTGCCCATCTCTCCCTCTCTAAGTCAGTCACACTGGGGTTTTTTCTGTTCCTCAAACTCACCAAGCTTTCCTGCTCCAAAGTCCTTGTACCCACTATTCCTTCTTTCCCTCTACCGCCTCCAGCTTTATTAAGGTATTACTGACCTATACGTGTAAGTTTTAAGGTGTACAATGTGATGATTGGATCTATGCATACATTACAAAATGATTACCCCAGTAAGGTTAGCTAACATCTCCATCTCTTCATGTAATTATAATTGTGTGTGTGGGAACATGGTGATAACATTTCAGATCTACTTTCTTAACAAATTTTAAGTACATAATACAGTATTGTTAATTATAGTCACCAAGTTGTGCATCAGATCCCCAGATCTTATTTATCTTACAGCTGAGAGTTTGTACCATTTAACCAGCATCTCCCCATCTCCCCTACTCCTCAGCTTCCCCTACTCCTCAGCTCCAACATTCGACTCTCTATTTCCAGGAGTTGGGCTTTTTAAGATTTCACATATGAGTAAGAACATATAGTATTTGTCTTTCTCTGACTTATTTCACTCCACTATTCCTTCTAATGAGAATGCTTCCCCCACCAAAAATACCACACACACACACACACACACACACACACACACACCACCTACTCTTGAAATAGCTCCTTCTCATATATAAGTTCATCTTAAATATCAACTCCTTTTGTGACCACCCTATCTAAAGTAGCTCCGACCTCATTATCTCCAAATTATCTGCTTTTTTGCTTTCCTTCAAAAAAGTTTATTACAATTCATCATTATTTTGTCAGTTTATTTTTAAACCTGTCCCCCCACTTTAAAATACAGCTATAAGGATGGAATATCCAGCTCATTCATCATCATATCCCCAGAAGCAGCAAACTGTCCGATATGTAATAGAAGCCTATCAATGTACAGCAAACAACGAATGAAATAGTAAATGAATATATGACTGTACTAAACAAATGCTATTAATGGAAATACAGAAACTAGAAGAGGAATGACTGAGAAGAAAATAAGATATACTCAGTTTGGTGCCATGTGGTTGAAAACACAGGACTAGTGGACACACAGGCTGGAAAGGGTTATGGATTGGAATTCTGCTGAGTGTAAATGCTAGCTGAAAAAAACAATAATTACATCGCAAATGAGACAGAATTCAGCAGGATAAATGACAAGCAAAAATACATAAAACAAATATGGAATGATTGTGTAGGTAAAATAATCTAACATAAACACTACAAAATCAAGAGAAGTCAAAACTGTTTCACAGTTTCAGTTTTTAGTAATTCACTAAGAAGAGTAAAGTAATCCTACCTTACTACTATTCATTGCTGGTCATATCTCAGCTAAAGTAGCAGGTCCATGTTGAAGGATTACACATTAGGGATGAGGAAGACACTTGAGAAAATGTGCAGTAAAGTCTCACGGGAATGACCACAGGTCTGGCCAGAAAACATGAGCTGCAAGAAGAAATTCAAGGAGTCAGAAACGTTAACGACAGAGAAAAAGTAAAAATGTGCACATGGAGTATAGTAGGCTACTGCTGGAAATTAACTGTGACAGTGTATCAGAGTCACCACATTAAGAATAAGAATGCTATATTTACCTAACTTTTCCATCCCCTGCTTACTCTCTCCCATTTCTTTCCACAACTTTCTCGATGTGTAACGCATCTTACCTTCTCCCCTAATCTATTCCATTTTGAATAGGTAATTCATGTTTTTCTCCATTTTCATAGCATAAAAATCATTTTGAGCTTGAAGCATACCAAAAGAATCAAGTACATTTGTTAAAATATTATTACAGCCTAAAGAAGTAATTAACTATGTAAGAAAAACTCTCAAAGGCTGGTAAGGTTTGGGAAAGATTCTCCCAGCATACACGCATTTTCTTTAATACGCCTTAGCATGCCAAAGCCTGACTCCTCTGTCAGCTGTTCTCTCAATTCGTGTCACTAGGAGAATTTCTAAGGTGCTTCTTGGTCACTGGCTCTCTTCTTCATCACTGATGTCAATATATGTCGTTTACAGCTCTGTCACCAGGCCTCATTTTCTGCCTCAGGGCCTTGTATTTCTAATCCCGACTTCTTGGTTATAAGAATGTTTGCTTATTCTGTTTCCTGTCATTTCCGCCACTTCACTGACTTTCACAATAATCAGAGGACATTTCATGGGGGTTACCAATAAGATTACTCCTTCCCTCTGGTCAGGAAATTGGCCAAAGTATGTAAGGAATATCTTCCAAGTCTTCCACTCTTCTAAGCTTCTTACTCATTTCCAAAAAGATTCCTTCTTGGCCCCCCAAATAAGTATATGTTCTCCTGTAGATTTGGCAAGGTTCCCAAAGCTAGAACTGGTGGGAAATCTAATCTACATATAATGAGAGTATTATTACATCCCTCTTCTTCCATTAAACTGTGACATGATTTGCGAACAGGGATTATCATCTTACTATAGCCAGCATCCTACACAATCTCTGGAACATTGTAGCCACCAAACAAGTGAGTACCGAATGAACGAATTTCCAAGGTAAATTATGGCTTTCCCTGACTTGTACACTTCGGTGTAAAGTAGGACTTTAACAAGAGTTTTTACATCAAATGGTAAAATTCATGACTTTAAATGATACTTAAATATGAAAATTTTAATCATGCTGCTGTCAATAGCTTCAGTTAAGCCCCTTAGATATAATACAGTAAACAGTGTTACTTATAAAGATTTCTAAAGAACTAAATGTATGAGTGTGTACAAAAATGTACATATTACATATGTTATTGAATTCCACTCCAGAGACAGACCCCAAAATTACTGAACTATCCATTTAATTTGAAATTTTTTAGCCACTTCTCTATCAGCAAGGTCAGCTGAGAATACCTAGAATTTCACATTCTGGTCTTTCACTGTGATACAGAAACAGTTATTTTCAAAGACCTAAGAACAAGAAAGATAACTATTCAACTAAGATTTCATGCCCAACAATGAGCAGTGCAGTGTCAAGTGTCTTGCTCAAGGAGGCTAGTCAAAGCACCCATCTGTTATTTATGTGTCACTCTCCAACACAACTTGTTTCTGTAATTTTTATTTTTCAATGAAAAAACCCTATTTTCCATATGATACTGAAATAGTTTGGGTTAAAAATAAGTAACAACTTCCTTGGTGGCATTTCTAAATGGAACATTTCTTTCATCAAACTAATATAAACCATTGAATAAAAACTATATTCCTTATGTTACCTCAAAGATACAATCATCCTCATCAGAACTCAGCAAAGATTCCTATCAGAACTCAGCAAAGATTCCTAGAGACAAGTTGAAAATGCATAGTAACTACTTTTTTAGTGCACCTTAATCTTCCCCACCAACTTCCAACCACATAGGCTACCATCTTTAACTCACAATCAGTAAAAATATAGTTCCTATTCCTTAACTATGCTTCTCTTCATGAGGTAAGAGGTGTGCCTAGGGTGCAAAATTTATGGAGACATTCACTCCCAGGGTCATACCCTGTAGCTGCATGACCCTGAAAGCCAGTCTTATGTGTCTTAGGCATCTCTCTTGCCTCTCATGCTCATGGTGCATACTTCTCTTTCTCACTTCTACCTCTCCTACTTCCCTAATAAGTAACACCCAATTGTGATTAACCAAAATTTAATTCTGGTAAGCCAAATAACTAAAATGAAGCGATAAATTTAAATATAATTTTAATCCATTTAAAATCATGTTTTCACAAAAAATTTCTTGTTCGTGATGTGATTTTGGATGAAAAATAGATGAGGCAGTAATGCCTATATATATATATATAATGAAAAACAGATGAGGCAGTAATGCATATATATATATATATATTTAAATATATATATATATAAATGACAAGATTGTAAGTTGGGTTTTTTTTTAACCAGTTTGGGTTGCATGTACATACAAGTGACAGAGCTGTGTTGTATTTTACTCCCCTTCTTTTGGTAGCAGCACCTCAATTTTCTTCTGTTGAACTACCATTCTCTTATTTTGAATCCATGTAGTTTGAGTGACACTAATTCCCACTCTCAGGTTCCTGAAATAAGCACAAAGTTCCTAGAATAGGTACATAACCCAGGCCTGGACAATCAGCATATTTCCTTCCCCAAGCAGTTCGGGAATGGGTATGTGATCCAATTGGACAACTAAAACTCAATCCCAAAATTTTTGCCAGAACTAATTAGGAAGTTCTCTTTTGGCTGAGGTCGCTAAACTGAAAGAACATGGTAGGCACCAACTTGTCAGAGAGCCAACCCAGAGAAAACAAAAGCCAAGAGATGGAAAGAGAAATGAAAACTCTGAAAATATTTTGCCTAATTAGCTCAAAATATTTGAGCTAATCACACCTGAGTTCAGGTGTGAATAGATGTAGCTGCTAGAATTTTAGAATTGCTGTTGAGAAACAATTCTCTCTGGATTTCCCATGTTCCTGCACAATCAGAGGCTTCTGAGCAAAAGGTACTATAAGAATAATTGCATAATATCCAGCCTTGGAAGCTAGAGAGTGTGTCTCCCTAAAGATAGAGACCTCCAATGAGCTTTGGCGAAATAAAACCCTCTCCCTACCTCCCCTGGAAGATATTTACCTATATTCCTTTTTTTCCTCATATTTCTTATGTTACTTTATATATTTTTTCTTATATTTACTTGTATTCTAGAGCACTAAATCTAAAGACACTTTCCCATTCTCCTCTGGAGAGATTTGCTTAATGAATAATCTCTCTCCCTCTGCAGGGTAATTTCAGTTCCACAACTGTTTCAGACTTAATAGTTACATGTGGCAATAAATTACTTTTTTTAATTAATTCATTCAACAAATATTTGCTGAGAGCCTACTAAGCTATGTACCATGCACTTTCCTACAAAACCTCTCAGACAAAAATTCCTCCCTCATGGAGACTGTATTCTACAGAGGAAACAAAACACAAAATAAATACATAAAATATATAGTATAAAATCCTGGTAAGTGTTACAAAGAAAAAGCAGGAAGAAGGCCTGGGTCCATTGGTTAAGTGTCCCACCCTTGGTTTTGGCTCAGGTCATGATCTCAGAGTCCTGAGATAGAGTCCCACACGTCAGGCTCCACGCTCAGTGCAAAGTCTGCTTGAGACGCTCTCTCTTTCTGCCCCTACCCCCACCCCCGCACTCTTTCTCTTTCTCTCTCTAAAGTAAATGAATAAATCTGAAAAAAAAAAAAAAAAGAAAGAAAAGAAAATGCATCCAAGATGGCAGAGGAGTAGGAGACCTGTTTTGTCTGGTCCCAGGAATTCAGCTAGATCTATCAAGTCATTCTGCAGTCAAATGCTCTACCACTGAGCTATACCCCCTATCAGTTCATTCTGAACACCTGCGAACTCAACCAGGGATAAAAGAATAGTTACAACTCTACAAATAGAAAAGCGACCACTTTCTGCAAGGTAGGAGGTGCAGAGAAGTGAATCTGAGGCAATATATGGGAAGATAAACGGGGGTGGGAGCCTCCCTAAGCCGGCTACCGGAAAGTAATGTGGCAGCAGAGCACAAAATCAGAACTTTTAGAAGTCGGCTGCAGTGAGGGCGGTCCCTGCCTGAAAGGCGCTCAGGTGGTGAAGTGGGGTGGAATCCTAGGTGGGACAGTGTGGTTTCAGGACCCTCAGGGTCACAGGGAGACCAGGAGTACGTGAGTGCAGCAGAGCTCCCAGGCATCAGAGCAGGGAAGCTGGCTGCCATCTCCGAACCCAGGAGTGGGCTCTCAGCTCTGGATTGCCATAAACCGGGAACCACAGCGGCAGGGTCAGATGATTGCTCTCCGAGCAGGGGCCCAGCAAGCAGCAGAACCATGGAGAGACCCCCTTCTCTCCCCCCGCAGGAGCGACATAGATGCACGCTAAAGGAGTCTGCAGGGTTTCAAGAATCAAAGTGGGGTCACGAGCCTGAGATAGAAATGCTGGGTAACAGGCTGGGTGAGCACGGAGCACAGAGGGAGACCATGGAGACAGGAATGATTGACTGCTTTTCCCTGGAGCTCTCAGCTCGGGGCTGGAGATTAGGAGGCCACCATTTTCATTCTCATCCTCTAAAGCTGCGCAGAAAGCCTTTAGGAAACAAAAGCCACTTAGGGCAATCCAGAGTCACTTACACTTAGCCTGGCCCCCTGGGAAGGGGGGTGCAATTCCACCGGGGGCAAAGACACCTGAGAATCAGTGCAACAGGCCCCTCCCCCAGAAGATTGGCAAGAACATATGGCTAAGACTAAGTTTACCCATCACACAGAACTGCAAAATTCCAGTGCTAGGGGAAAATAGTATTAGAATTCATGGTTTTTTTCTCATGGTTCTTTAGTCTTTCATTTTTTATTTTTTTTCGCTTTTTCAACCAATATCTTATTTTATCAACTCTAAGTCTTTTTTAACTTTCATTTTTACAGTTACATTCTATCCTTTCATTGTATTTAATTTTTTTCTT